CTTGACTGTGACCTATATGCTGAAAAAACTTTTTCCACTGTTTGTCATAACTTTTGAACCATAGGAGATAGGGACTTCATATTTAGTATGCATACTCCACCGATAACGTCCTTTCAAATGACGACAAGGTCAATGATCTTGTGACCTTGACTGTGACTTATATGCTAAAAATAGATTTTTACACTTTTTGCCATAACTTTTAACCATAGAACATAGAGACTTTATATTTGGTATGCATACTCCACCGATAAAGTCCTTTCAAATGACACCATGGTCAATGATCTTGTGACCTTGACTGTGATCAATATGCTAAAAATAGATTTTTTGAACTTTGTTGCCGCCCATACTGTTTCACAAACACATCTTGTTTAAAATGTAAAAACAATTTAAGTAGTAGTTAGCATGCATGAACAAACAGGGGCCTGGGAAGTGGCGAGGAAAAGGATCTAGTTGATATCTCTTTACGTTTTAATGGTTGAAACTCCTAAAATAAATGTTGACCTCAAACCTGCCTTTTCCTCATCATTTTTCAAGTAGTGGTGTCTCCATATGAGCGAAAAATTCCTGAGAGGGATGTTTAACAACAAAAAACAAATGTCATAAAAACCACAATATTGATTTGCTTTAAGATTTATACATGGGATTTTTTCCATCATAAATCTTCATCTCAAGGATAGCAGAGGCATCATCATGATTATTTTCCCGTTTTCGGAAAAAGGAGGGGACATTAAATCTCATTTGTCTGTCAGTCTGTCCATCTTATTGACAGTATGTGCATATTTCACAATGAATTTAACCTTGTTCATAAATTTTGATTAATAATAGACAGGGCTTTCATTTTTCACATGTACATTATCACAATTTTTTTCTTAATATACTATGATTTTTTATCCCAAGTGAGATTTTGACCTCAAAGTTTTACCTACTTTGAATAAAATAACATTAATTTAAATTGATTTATATTTTGAAAGAGAAAAGATAGGGCATTCAAATTATACATGTATATTACATGTGATCGATTGATTGTATACTATTTAACGTCCCTCTCGAGAATTTTTCACTCGTATGGAGACTCCACCAGTTGCCGGTGGAAAGCTGCATATTTTGTCCTATACTCGGCACTGAGGGCCATTGAGCAGGGGATCTTTTTAGTGCCAGCACCTACTGCGACACGGCCCAAGGACCGGTCTCCACGTCCCACAGTGGGATTCGAATCCGCGACGTAACAATCGACTCCTTACTTCGCGACTCTAGAGCAGACGCTCTAACCACTGCACCATGCTATATTACATCTGAAAAGATTTGCTAAATATATCATGACTTTTGACTCTGTGACCTTGACCAAGAAGTTTAACTTACTTTTCAAAAATATTATATTTCCTTAATATAACTTTTGATTGAAAAGAGATAGGATTTTAATATTTGACATGTACATTAAAGCGGCACAGTGATGCACAGAGGGGAAAATTGACAAATGTAGAATTTTCGCATGACCTCTGTAAATTTTGTTCAATTCCTAAAAGTATTCAGTTTCAGAAAATTACATGTTTCAGAACCTAAAAATTATATATTTATGGGGAAAAATAAAAGTAAAAATTATTTTCTGTCTGCCCCAGAACGAAAATATTGCAAAATACCCTGTTACTTCTTCCTCCTTATTGTACGCGTGCGCAGAAATGTGTTGAATAAGTTTCCGTAGTTACCATGGTCTCAGGTATCCACGAATGAATGTACGAAGACCAAATAATTTGATTTAATCTTTTTAAAAAAGTTGTTAGAACATATTTCTCACCTTTGCATGCTCCAGTTGAATGTTGTTTACAAGTTTGAGCTGAAAATAAGAGTTGCGTGACCTTGACATATACGAAACAACGAAACGGTAGATACAACCTTTATTTTTCCGGCACACAATCTGCCATTAATCTGGCATCCAATTCACTAAAACACAGAAAGCAGAGGACCACAATTCTTTGAATTTGCTTATATAATCTTGATATGGAAACATCCTCATATAATGTAGATTCAAGTTTTTTATGCCACGCCATGATTAAAGGAGTATATGTATAGTTTTTATCATGTCCATCCTCCACCTTTTCATCTGTCTTTCCATCGGGCTCAAAGAAACTATTCTAGAAATTTTTAGCAAATTTCATATGCTGATTAAAGGAGAAATTTGGGCAAGCCTGCGCTGGGGATAAACTTTTTGAAAAAAGGTAAAAAACGCCGACCGTTTTATTCGCTATTTACGAGTATTTACATGTCATTGACCTCATTGTGACCTGTTTAGTATTCCGATATATCACGTGATTTGTAGATTCAGGTAACTGTGAATATAAAAAATTAAATAAACCACGTTGCTGTAGCTTCGATTGATAATATTGCATCGAATGTTTTTACTTAATCAACATTGAATTCTTATTTCCGTTTAGTATATTTTATAGGGCAATGGAATATAAAACTGGACAAAATTTTATAGTGATATTTTATTTATTGTAGCCCTTCGATTTAGGGGGCACGTTTGGAGGTTCAAAGAATTTCAAAGAGATTTAGTCCCAATCGTTGCAATACCATCTTCCTAGCTGCAGATCTGTAGCGTTATGGTTTTATATAATTTGTCTTTGACCATTATGGTCAAAGAAAAATATATAATACCATAACGCTACAGATCTGAAGCTACATCATTCTTCAAAGTGTTTTCACTGTAAAAATATATAACATGTACACTGTATATGCACACAGGGTTTAAACGTTAGTAGATTTTTTAACACTGGAATACTTTCTGGGACACCCCCCACCCCCACCCCCTTCTCCAAGAAGAAAACAAGCAAACAAACAAAAAACCAATCACACATATACAATTAATTAAATTGTTTTAGTAATATAGCACCACACGCAGCATCATAACAATAACAAAATTCTGTACACCATTATATGTTCTAATGTTCTATAAGTATCACATTGTAGCTGTACTTTCAAAAGTACGGAGAGAGAGAGAGATTTAATAAATTCGATATGGCACTAATCATGCTAATCTTTTAAAAGATAAAAAGTTTTTTTTTCATTAGCGGACTTTTGTTCCGTTTTTATTTACAAACTTGTAGGCTTCCTTTATCAGTTTATTTTAAGTGTTAAATTTTCACCTACAAACGACTAAAATTGAGGGGGAAATCTGGAAACAGAGAGGGAGTACATGAACATCCCCGTGCAAGACCCCCCCCCCCCCCAAAAAAAAAAGAAACAACCAAAATCAAAAAAAAAAAAAAAAAAAAAACTGGCGTAAAGCTTGGGAAGTTTTTTGTGTTTATTGCTTTGCGTGGACGCTGCCTGAGGTCTACGTAGTAAATATATAAGCGAGGTATAAACCATATGCCATGGGCATAAGTCAGGCTACGCATGCGCGAAAATGCTGGAGAGTTTGCAACTGCATCATCTCGGATCTTACTGTCAGAGTTCGGAAAAACAACTTCCGCCAGTCGGAAAGGCCCGAGAATTTGTGATTGAGAGAGTTCGACCCCCCCCCCCCCCCCTCCCCAAGACAAGTTACCCATAGAATAATTCGCCATAATCGAATAAGAATAGACTATGTAAATTGGCAAATCTCGCTTTTAAATCTGCATATCGTGTTTATTTGTGCATCCTAATATCTTTCTTATACATACACTTTTATAAAATAAGCATTCCATGCAGATGTATTTTAAAGAGTAGGAAGAACTTGCCTTCATCGGCATTTGTTTTGTGCATCGAGACTCACGAAAATAATTTGATATAGGCCTACAGCAATTCAAAAACAGCTTGATACAGGCCTGTAGTAACGGTTTTCCACGGAGAGCTCTGAAGGAGGGGGGGGGGGTTAAAAATAAATCTGCGAACTACATAACTATATCAACATGTGTTCCATCAGATATATTTTTTCAATTATAGATTTCTTCCATATAAATCAAGAACAGATGTAAAGTCCTTGCCATTATGGGTTACATGTTTCAATATAGCCCTTTTTTTAAATGACAAAACTTTATGCATATGTAAGCCAGTCGGAGATATAACATATATATAACAAATTCGTTATTAAAGTACTATAGTAGGCAAATCATAATAGAAAGTGTGAAATAACGTACATAAATGTTCAAGAAACCTAGATATTGTATTGAATTGAATTTCGGTTAGAAAAACATGCATTTGGTACACGTATTGTAGTCCTTTTTTAAAGGACAGCAACTTGTCTGTATATTTTGTAGTCATTTTAACTGGCTTTTAGACATGTTTTCAATCGATCGATAAAATACCCCGCCTACTTCGAATATTAATGTAACACAATTAAAACCCAACTGGGACAATCGCAACATTCCGGAATTAACATCCACTAGAGGGCTTTTTTAATTACCTGAAATAAAACCTGAAATAAAACTAAAGAGCCGTTTTCAATGAACATTTTTGCAAGGAATGTACCACACTGATAACAAATTATCGGTAAGCTGTAAAATTATTAAGATTTGAGGTGATTAGATAAAGTTAGAGGGGTCCAAAAAAGTTGAAACATTCTCTAACAAATCCTGAAGTTAAAGAGAGAGAGAGAGAGAGAGAGAGAGAGGGTTCTGCGGTAAAACTTCTCAGTCATTAAACTGCTTTCTTATATTTTTTTTTCTGTGTGGTACTTTGCCGCGTAAAATGTACAATATGTACACATTCGTACAGTGTACATAGTCATACATGTATATTGGATAAAAAGCAGGAGACATTGCGTGATATAATATTTTTTCGAACGAGATCACCTTTATTTTAACTACTCTGTACAACTACTAATGAAGCTAATATAATCATATTGCAATAATTATATGTGTTTAAAAAAAACTTTAGATGTAAACCTAGTAGGGATTTTTTATGAATTGTGAACAATAATCTTATTATTGTAACGACAATAACACACCTGGATGTACTAGATGTATTCTAATATAATGTGTCCAGAGTTATATGTACAAGTAATAACATGTTATATTTTCTAG